GGTGGCGTGTACTGCTTTATAACTAAAGACAGGACAAACTAACAAAAACATAAAAACAACTGCAGAGCACGCCACGGAGGCAGCCATCACCGTCGGCGCCATCTCACATCTACATCTCTGTAGCGACTCGGTCAACAGAAACGGCAGCGCGAGGCGCACGTGAACAGGTCGTCTCCTCCACATTAATACCAGTTTCAGTTCATAATCATGACTAAACACCCGAAGGTAAGTTAAAAGAAATCCGTATCCTGTCTCATGTGATCGCTCAATCAGTGTTTCAGCCGCGCAAAGACGTCAATATAACGGCTTGTAAACAATGTCACGTAATGTCACATTTACTGTACCTCAGAAAAAAACATATTCGGTGACCATAAACTCATTACTCAGATATAAAAATAAACTGTAGAGAGGGGTATTTTGCTTAATATATCCACCATATAACATATTCATTATAATTTTTACTGTTCTTCAATGTTTAATTTATGTTTGAATAAATCCGTCAAGTTTTTATGACAGCCACCATTTAAATGTTTATATTTAAAGGGGTCATATGATGCTGCTAAAAAGAATATTATTTTGTGTATTTGGTGTAATGAAATGTGTTTATGCGGTTTAAGGTTAAAAAAACACATTATTTTCCACATACTGTACATTAAATTTAAAAGTTTAGTGCAGAAGTATCGAATCGGTATCGATATCGACGATACTGCCTTGAAAAATATCGGTATCGTATCGAAAACAAAATAAGGGGTATCGCCCATCCCTACTGAACGACGACAGCGAACAAGAGGGAGAATGTGAGCACTGTGTGCTCAGGCGCAGCCGTTCTCAGCGCCGTCAAAATAAAAGTCCTCGAACACATCGGCCAAGCAGAAAAACTTATCGGCCGATGCTGATATTTGCTGATATATCGGCCTTGGCGATATATCGATCGACCACTACTCTCATGTATATTTTACAGCATTAGTTGAGAGATGTTTTCTTCCTTGAGAAAATTTGGCATGTACTGTACCTGATATATATCCAAAATAATCGATATTGAATCGAATCGAAAGCTT